GGTCATCTATGATTGTCGAAGGTTATTATTATCTGCCTTCAATGATTCAACAGTATGCTCTAATTCGATAACCCTATTTGACTGTCCTCTGATAGGTCGCCTGAATGGTTCCCATCTAGATGTGCTCACACCTATATTCAATGGATGTGTGTGAATATCCAAACCTTTCAGTTATCCTTTCTTAACCCCACTAGTTGCCCTAAGTAATAACTCACCATAAGCTATTATAGGGTCAAATCCTTCTTCCTCTTGCCTAACAGCATATTTAGCTGTCAATTTTTCTTAAAATGATATAAAACAAAATAAATAATTAATTGTATTGAAAATTAAAGTGTAATTTAAAATATCACTTTAGGCACCTAAAATGATGGAGTTCTAACTTTTTACCAATAACTATATTGTACAATAATTTCAATATTATACAAAATAATTTCAATTAATTCATGACACAATTTAAAGTGAAATTGTTAAGTTGAATACTTATTCCAATTTCTTGAGCCTCATCATTACAATTTACAGGTAGTTGGTCTTTTCCTTTTCCTTTGTGTTGCCTTCTACTAGTGTAAGCCTCGAGAAATGTCAGTAGACAACTCTTGGGGTTTGCTTATTGTTGTAAAGAAAAAAAAAGAAGAGAAAATATTAAAATTAATATAAAATAAATTATAAATCATAATTTATTAATTATTCATTAAAAATATGTTAATTTTTATACCATTTTCTTTTTATAAACATTAACGTCCATTGAACCGCTAGTATGCGTTACCTTCGGTTCTTTTGCTCGATTAGCCTTTGCAGAACTTGACCTTCTCAAATGGCCCTCGTCCTGTAAAAGTGGTGAACACATATATTTTCTTAATTAATAATATCATAAAAAAATTAAACATTGCAATTGAAAATTAAAAAATAAATAATAATAAACACATGAATTTACTCCATTACCTCAGTCCATAAATAAACAAGCCTCGCCCATAAGTCTGGATTCATATCTGGAGGCTTAACTTGAAAGTTTCTCTTTGCACACTTAGCTTTCAACTCACTAAGTGCATGCTTGAACTTGATCCTTGATGTCACACTCCATAAATCGTTTACAATCTTATCAATCGCAGGATCTCATTCATATGTTTGCTAAAAATAATAGAAATATAAATAAATAAATAATTTAATAACAAAAAAATTTTCAAATTACTTAGGGTGTACACAGTCTAATTTGTAAATAGAAATTAAGTGCTTAGGGTGTACACTAAATATATTCCAATATATACCCCGATGCTCATGATAGACCTGTTCCCACGATGTGTAAGCATCTGGGAGATTCTCTCGCAACTGGATCACAATCTATTGTCTGACCTGTTGTGGCAAACCTCTATACTCATCTAACTCTAATTGGATCTTCGTCCCATCTGTAGGCATCTACACGGGCTTAACAACTAAGTTAATGTAGATAGTATTTTGATTTAATTTAATGACTTATATCACATAACTTTTTTGATATTTTATCACTAGTACAATTGTGCTACTAAAAACAAAATCTGAATACAAGTACCAAGTATGTATTTAGCATATAATTCCTTTATTCTTTATTGATGAAAATTAAATTAAGAGTAAATATAACACTATCTCACATGCTTTACATATGCAAGGTTCTTTGCCTCCAAATTTACATGTATTTGTACCAAGTACCAACTTGTTTCATCTACACTTGAAGTTTGCACAATAAGTCAATGAAATGATTAAGATAAGTAAATTTATAATGATAATGGAAAAATGTTTAATTTTTATGTTCTTTTTAAAAAAATTTTAAATTATTTCTTTTTTTAATCTTATTTTCTTAATATTATATAAAAAAAACTTACTAAAAAAATTTGCCTAAGCAACTTAGGCATTGCTAATGCACTTTATGCTATAGGCTATGAACAACTACTCATCACTACCTAACGCTTTTTGTGACCTTAAGGCTTGAAATTAGTAAGTTTTGTTTGTACTTATAATAATTATATATTTAGGGTTAACTCAAATTGTTTATTTGGTTCATTAAAACTATTGTAATGATAAATGGCTAAATTCAAAAAATCATCTATTAACTTTCAGTTTAATTTCAGTTTCATCTATTATCTTTAAATTATTTCAATTCTGTCTATTATCTTTCACATTTATTTCAATTTCATCTAGGTAGTTAAAGTTAACAGAAATCTTAATGGAAATCTTCTTAAATTTAGTACTCTAACTATGTTTCTTTTAATCCTTTAGTCCTTAAATTTATATTCATAGTAAAAATAGTTTTTATTCTTATTTTGCTAAATGTGTTTTTCAAAAAATTATTTTACAGAGCAGACTGCATTCAGTCCACCCTGTAAAATTATTTAAATACCCTTAATTCTATTTTTATATTATTTTTTCATGAACATTTAAATAATTTTATAAGACAAATTGTACACAGTCTGTCCTATAAAACAGACTTACCCATGAAATTTCTTATTCTAAACTTACTGAATTTCTCTGTTTGAATTACAATCTATCTCTATAAAATATTTTTTGATTCATCATATTTTATTAAGATTTAAGTGTCACTTTTTTAAAACTCAAAGGACTACTTTTTCCTCAAATCTAACAGCAATCTAACGTCATCTTTGTACGGTAGACTAATTTGAAATATTCTTCAAAGTTTCTAGATCATTTAGAAATGAAACATAGAAATGAAACAAACTTTCTAGACTAAAATGAAATTAAACTGAAAGTTAGTAGATGATTTTTTGAATTAAGCCAATAATAAATCCTTTTGGAACTAGGTAAGATTTGGAGGCAATCACATAGTGCTCTATTATACATCAGTTGTATTCTTGATTATTAATTATATTTGCTTTCTCATAACAAAAAATCCTATTAGTGGTGTTTAATTTTGTTTTTATTTTTATTATTTGAATAGATATAAAAAAACATTATTTTAAAATATATATCTATTAGTCATTTAATGAACATTAACCGTTAACTATTAGATAACCAAACAATTATAAATATTAACATATGTTACTTGTAATTAACTACCGATCACCCACTATTGTTACTCTTTTTGTTGTTGACTTTTTATTATTCACCAATTGCTGCGTACTAAATTTCAACCACTAAGCTAGAGATGGCCTAAGTTTAAGAAAGATTCTTGCTTACAAGTTTTTTCAAACAATAAAAAAATAAAAATAAAAATAAAAAAGGAGGTGACTAATGAGAGCTAGAGTGCTTGACTTTTCCTTGTCACTTTAGCTTCTTAGTTCATCGCCTTCTCAGCCCCCATTCCCACCTAGACCCCCACCACCATTGCAACAATTGATACAAAATCAAACTACTTCTTTGTAAATGATAAAAATGAAAAACAAACACATAAAATTTAACTCCATCTAACCCAAAATAATAGTTGTTTATTAACTTTTTATTCTTTTTCTTACCATTTATATTTTTACCTACATTACTCTTAATAAAAAGATAACAAAAATTTTTTGTAATAAAATAGATAATTAAAATCAATAGGTAATGTTAGTGTTAAAGACAATTTGTGACAAATTTTAAGTCTAAAATCTACTATTATTATGATATAGATGGACTAATAATCTTGCAATCAGAAGTCATGACCAAATTTCCCCTTTTTTTTTATCAACCAACAAAGTAACTTTTGTTAAAGGGAGTACAAGAGATATTCAACCCATAACAAGAGAGAAAACTTTGTTACTAGATTAGTCATTAATTCCTTGTTAAATATAAAAGTTCTCTTTTCAAGCAAAGTTCAATGCTTTTCTAGGTGATCTATGCCACATCTCCAAAGATAAATTTGTTAACTCAATGCACTCCAAGCGAGGGGTGAATTGGAGTTAAAAAATTTTCACTTCTTTGTAACCACCAAATAGAACTTAAAGAGAGAGTAGTGAAGAAGAGCTTGCACAATGATTTTATAGAGGTTCGGTCTAACCACTTGAAGCCTAATCCTCTACCTTGGCTTCACTCATCGAGGATTTCCTCCACACTCTCTACTAAGAAAAACAAAGGTGCCTTAAAGGAGCCACTCAATCCTTTTACAAGAAGAAGGGTGTTTTTCTCAAATCTCACCATTTTACAAGATTAACCCCAATAATCCTTTCTACAAATCACTCTTGAAGGAATAATCACAGGCCCAAGATAACACACAAGTAGAATAAAAAGAGGATTACAAGCAAAGATCACTCAAAGATTAAAAACTCAAGTTAAAATACAAGTAGGTAGGTAGAGATATTTAATACAATGCTCTAAAACTAATCGCAGGTCTGCCACTAACCATATTTATAATCCATCAGTCGAAAATAGTCGTTTCTAGCCATCGGAGGTCATTAAATGCCCTGCAGGTTGTGTAATTTCGAGTTGTAGAATTGTTAGTATAGTTGGCTTAAAGTCTAGAGCCGGCTCTGTACAACCGGCTTAGAGTTCTACAGTCGGCTTTGCGGGCTAAAACCAATTTAGCCCTTCACCTTACAAAATTGGTAGGTTTTAGCCCCTAACCTTATAATATAATACTTTTAGCCCTTTACCTTATAAAGTTGGTAGGTTTTAACCCCTCACCTTACAAAGTTGGTAGGTTTTAACCCATTACCTTATACTATGACACTTTTAGCCCCTTATTTATATGAATTGAAGAAACTAGCTCTCATTTAATATCAGGTTATAATGTTCTGTTAATTCTATTAGCTCTATTAGCTGACAGTCAGTTCTGTTAACTGACTGTTAGTATCCGTTAATATTTCGTTAATGGAACTAACAAATAAAATTAAGTTTAAATTTTATAATTTTTTATAATGAAATGCTAACGGATGTTAACAGTTGGTTAATAGAACTAACCGAATGTTATAACCGAATGTTATAACCTAATATTAAGTAAGGGTTATTTTCTTCAATTTGTATAGGTAAGGGTCTAAAAATGTCATAATATAAGGTGAGGGGTTAAAACCTACCAATTTTGTAAGGTAAGGGGCTAAAAACTATCAAATTTGTAAGATAAAGGGATAAAAGTGTCATATTATAAGGTGAAGGTCTAAAACCTACCAATTTTGTAAAGTAAGGGGCTAAATGTTGGTTTTTCCCCGACTTTGTGGGTTTCTTGTACATTCTGTTTTCTTGTACAGCTGGCTACAAAATATAAAGTCAGCTTTGGGATTCAAACTTTAAAAATATTAAATAATCTTTAAATAATTTGACTGTTGTGCATTAAGTGCACCATCACAACCGGTTACAAACTTAAAGCTAGCTTTGCATTCATTTTCTGCATGCGCCAAACTATGCACTTAAATTTTTATCTCGTAGAGCTAGTTGTAGATTTTAGAGTTGGCTTTCTGCACTTTTACCTTCTAGAGCTAGCTGCAGATTTCTTTAAGCTGGCTCCCTGCACTTGTCAGCCTATTTTGGTCTTTTTTAATGCAGTCCAATTTCACTTAATTTTACAATGTTTTGGAAGTTCAATTACACTCTTAAATGAACAAATTAGCTATTCAAATGTGTTTTGTGATCATCAAAAGGGTCATGTTATTGCCTTGAGCTAGTAAAAAGATCTTACTTTCATGAGTTCCACCACCATTTCCCACTCTTCTTTCTCTGCTTTAAAGACAAACTAATTTCTCCATAGCCAAATGGACCAAATAGCTGCAAACCAAATCATAACCTAAGCCTCCAAAAGACTTATTTTTAGAACAAGCCATTACGTTGTTAAAAATTTTCTTTCTCTCTTGATGTTTGAGTTGTGCTTATTCCCCACCACTTATAGCAAGCTAACCAAATTTTCCATATTTCTAGCCAACGTGACAAGAAGATGACTTTTATCCTCCTTCAACTCTTTAAAACATTGCAATGATATCTTACAAATATCCAATATATATTTTAAATTTTATTTCTTACATTCTTTTGTATATTTGTAAAATTTTGTGTTATATTGTTAAATAATCCTAATTTATTAAATTAATTTTATAGGACATTATCTGTGCAAAGGCAAAGTTCTGCCACTTATAAATTATAGATATTGTAATATCCTAAAATTTTCTAAGACCTTAGAATTTAAGTTAGGGACTTATGTGGGAGAAACTATCTT